ATAATTTATTTATTCCAATCTTGCGGAATATCTTCTCCTTCAAACGTACATTTATTGAATAATGTTGGGAGACGCTCAAGTAAAATATCTAGACCATATTTTACCAGTTCAATAGGAATGTTTCCAGGCCCCGCTGCATTTCCATTCTTTGAGTGTCCCAAGGCATCTTGTATATCTTTTTGTTATTTCTCCTACATGTCCTATAGTCTGATGTGTCCATATTTTCATCTTGCATTTCGTACTCTTTTCTATCTTCAGCTTAGCAGTAATTCATCCTACACTCTCTATTCATTCATGTTTATTAATTGGCTATTATTTGATTGTTGTTCCTCCTTTCTAACGTTTTTAGAGTACTTCAGGCTTCCGCAACTTTTGCATCCCCCATGCGCCTTTTTAATTTACTCTTGTTATTTCTAATAACATTTTTTCTCTGCTGGTAAGGGATAATGTTGGAAAAATATGGAAAACCCCGATTTTCAATTGGGATGACATTAAATTAATTGCCCAGCCAAGAATATTAACATGTTTATTCATGTTCCTTACTTGAATAGTACTTAAATAGTTTGTCTCAAAATTGTTTTAAGGCATACAAACGCGCGAAACAATGCACTCTTAGAAATATATTTTTTTGTATTTGCAGGTGGTGTACCACCATTAAATGGTAAAACTTCGGACGCCTCCACAGTGCCCGCAGCAGCATTAGATGAAGATACGCGAGACACTACAGCGTCGTTTGCAGACACAGATGGTAGTCCTATTGTTTCCGTTGAAGACGATTTATGCGAAAACAGTGCATCCGCATCAAGTGTCAGCGAGTCTACGAAAGACTCAATGCAGGTATGTAAAACGGTTTTAAGTTAATTATAACGGCGCTGTACAATGGAATGACCACCGTGAATACAAATTTCGCACGTAATAGATAGTGTTGATTTGAACAAAACAATTTGCTTCCGATACATGATAAATTTTTCTGTTTGTTACATTTTATTATTTTACGCATTTGGAAACGTATATGTTACCGGCAATGTGCAAAATGCCTAGGCATTTTGCAGAATCGCTACTACTTTGGGCAATGTGCACATTGACTAGACAATGTGCTTAATACATAATGCAGCAAAATTGTTGTTTCCTTTCTGCCGGGTGGCGATTATGCCAAACTTTGTTGTTCAGTGATAAGGCAATGGCGAGCGGAAATAAATACATTTTTGGTGAAATTAAATTCATTATTATATATTATTTTAATTATTTATTTAATGAGGAAATACTATCTTGTTTTACCAAACACAAAACAATTTAATGTAATAAGATTACTTAACACTAATATTAGAATTTATCCACGGCATTAAAGTATGAAAGCATAAATTATTAGCTCCATAACTGCGGATGTTTTTTAAATTTTTGTGCACACGTACAAAATTATTATATCAGTTTGTTTTCATTAACGACATTTACATATTTCCAGCACATCGTTTCTCGAAAATCTTGTATGTTGTTTCATATTTAGTCTTTGATTTTTCAATAGCAAAGATGTTCCCTATTAATTACCCTGGTTTTCATTTTACATTAAATAATATGTAAACCCGAATATCAAATTTCCGAAAAATCTAAATTTGTTTGCACGACGCTAATAGGACAGGAATAAAAACTAATAATCAATAACGAACACTGGAAACGCGGTAAATTTGACAAAGTTGCTACTTAGAGTACTAAACAGACTTCTTGAAAAACTAAGCAACAAAGTTCCGTTGCAAAACGAACCTGCATAGTTTCGTAGCAACAGGTTTATGCACATTGTCTAGTCAATGTGAAGATTAAACCAATCTAACACTCTTGATGACACAGATTGACTAGCGCGTACGGCATTTTGCAGATTGCCTAAAATACAGTAGTTAATGTGCAGATTGCCCAAAGTAGTAGCGATTCTGCAAATTGCCTGGCGAGTTGGTCAGTTTGCAGAATGCCTAGGCATTTTGCACATTGCCGGTAACATATACATTCAATCCTGTGTGAAAAGATAACAATGCGGTTCGATGTTTTCTAACATTTACGTTAGAACAGCAGTACGTTCAAATGAACGCCACATATCAGACAAGACAGTGTGACAAGAGAAAACATTTATTTTGTAACTCAGTTCGTGTCTTGGTAAGTACTGGAAATTATTGTTTTAAAATTTTGTAAACGATCAAACATTACTAAATTATATGTAAAGTAAGCGTTTTTTTAAGGCAATCAATTTTTTATTTATTGAATTGAATTTGAGTTGAAAAGTCAATTGTAATAATATTAAAATAATAATTAGTGGTACGATAATAATACTACCGCTTAATGATGGTACGTGTTCCTCGGGACTCTTCTTGATGGATAATTCATTTCTCAAATTGTATTACCGAAAATTGTACCCCGCGCATTAGTATCTAAGTGTGTAATTAGTGTAAAATCAAGTTTCGAAATAATGTCAAGAAGTAGGAAGGAGTAATCAGTAAAGTACTGGTTTCAGGATGATGATTCCAACAGCATTGGCTTTGTAGCAAAACGGCCGTTGGATAGTGCTATTGATGGACCGCCTTCTGCGAAGAAAGCTCGAGAGGAAGCCAAGTGACGGTACACCCCCAGAACGACTCCTCTTTTTTATGCGACTACTAAATGAAAGTAGAACTTAACCATGTTTTTATCAATAATTATATAATATTGTTGTAATGATACGATGTTATATATTTATTGTTGCGATGTTAAACACTATAACATACTGCAATGACACGATGTTATATATTTATTGATGAAAATTAAACAAAACGTGTACAGAACAGCAGTGATCGGGAGTTCGCGTTCTTCTTTTAGCCCGTGCTTAATGCACAGTGATCAAACAGTTAACTAGTTCCAATGTCCTACTTTTAAGTTTTCAAAATCCCGGTACAAATACACTGTATAATTAACATTTTACGTTGACACTATATAATGTATATTGGATGAGCTGAGAGGGGAACGATAAAAATGAACTTATTTCTTAGTAATATGGCTTAGACAGAGACAGAAAGTGTTACCTTTTTGAAATAGCAACAATTTTGATAGTCCATTATATCTGTTGCTGATATGTATCTGTAAGGTTAAATTATTTTGCATATAATATATTATTCTTAAAAATCTTCAAATTATTGAAACCTGCGTTGTTTAAAATTAGTTCGTACGTTCATTCCTACTTGGATTTTTGTATTTTATTTTTTAACTAATAAAGAGTATTAAAACACATTGTCCGATTTTTGCAATCGAAAGTATCCGTGAGAACGCCATTTTATTAACGGTTTTTATAATAAATATAAAATGTCATTAGATTTTAATCAACCGGGTTGGAAAGAAATGTTGATAGCAGCAACAGCCCTTTGATGAATAATTTCTTATAAGAGAATACCATTTTTCCACGTGTGTATGCTTAATACAGTACATTATCCTTATTCCATTTCCTTTGAGGCATCACTTCTAGGGCCCCTATCATCGCTTTTCAGATTGGGATACAGTTTAGCAACTAAGCTATCTCCTTGGCGGCCTGCAAAGTCAGGCCTAGTCTTGCTCTAAAGATAAAATACATTGCTATCTGATGTATAACATTCAAGCTATCGAACCTTTTCAGCCATATTGGCGAATATCTCGTATAATGTTCTGTGATTGTTGTACATGGATCCTTTGCTGGAATTTTGCCGAGAAAACGGAGGGGTTAAATTAGTCAGAGGCGGAGGCGACATGGGGCTATCTGTAGTGGCTCTAATCACGGAAGCTCTTTGAGTGTTTTCGTCTTTTGTTGGTCCTGAAAAAGCGACGAAATGCCTGTGCTTTATTCGGAGAGAAACAATAACAATTGTTTCAACTCTGAAATCGCATGAATGGGTTTTATTGAAAGTGGAAGAATGTAATTTTGCTTGCGACCTCAAGTTAAATAGCTAGAAATTAAGTAACTTCTCTAGAAATACGGTAAGTTTCAAGAACCCAAAGGGGGTTTTTAAATAATTCGGGTTTGTATATGTAAACTTGTATTAAAATGTAATCTCCTTCACACCTTGTAGTAAAGTAACCAAAGCACCGAAACGTGTTTTGGTTTATGGATGAACAATGAATGACCGAAGCCCAGGAATTGATTTTGATTTGTAAAGTGTAAGTTAAATGATAACTTACCAATATTTTCAAGTTGATTTCTTGTCTCATTCAAGTCTTTTGGTTGCTTTCCGTTTGCTTTGTCTTCGTCAAAATTAAATGTATGTAATTCGCACAAACAGTCATAAACCATTTTATGTTTTTTGGAATGAATATTGCACCTTATAAAAAGTTCAAGCTCGTTCCACATGGCCTGAAAAAAATTTACAAAATTACCATTAATTAATAGTAATTCAGTCAGAGGTTGGGAAATGCAGGTTTATTAACATCTATTGACAATTTCAAAACGTTATAAAAATATACTATTATCTGACTTTTGCTGGATCATACATCACTTTCTGAAATATGCTGGAATTTTCTGAAATATGCATTTCTGAAATATGCTGGATCATACATCACTTTCTGTCGTTACTTGAATAACAAATCATTTTCTTCTCATAACTTCATAACCAGTCATCGTTTTGAAGATGTTTTTAAAAAATAGACGAAAAAACCGAAAGGAAATGTATGTAAAAAACTCAGTTTTATATTTATTTACCTTATATTGCTCCTCTCTCTTTTGCCCTTTCATTCGTTGCCCGGAATTCTGGGGATGTAGTGGTTCCATGCTTGCTTCCAATGCAACGAGATTGCAAAACACTTTTTTGCACGTATACATGTCCTCATCTAACATTTCATCTTTAACGATGAGAGCCGGTACAGGATCAATATACTAAAAATTACAGAACATTTATTTGTATTCTCGACGCACTAGTTTCATTGCTGCAACAAAAATATGTTTGTACAGGGCGTTCTAAGCATCATATACATATGTCTAGTTAAGTTCGCACCACCTGGGAAACTTGTTTATTAATTTTTCAAAATATCGAAAACTTTAATCAGTTCTCTCTCGATAAATTAATCGCTATGTCGCATTATTTTGATGATGAAATAATTGATAAATAACCAAACAAAACTTGATGTTCATCATAGATAGGTGCAATTAGATATCTGAACGTACTTTTCAACTCTAGGCAACTTTTCGTAATAACAATTTTCGATATAAAAAGTTAAAGGAACTTTTGTCTTGAGCAAAATTCATACTTTCTGATACACCTCGTTACGACTGAAAAAATTAATATTTGATGGTTGTATTTTAGGCTTTGATCCAAGCAGAACTTTTTATAGACTAGCTTTTTTCTTAAAATTAATAATTTAAGTAGGCACACTGTTTATGTACGGTGGCTTTAGTTTATTAAATGAGTAAAAATTTATGAAAACTCAGGTTCGCTTCTGCTACATTTGACTAAAGTTTGGAATATTTGAATTGCACAATATAGTTTTCTCCTATTTTTCTTGATCTCTCGCAAATAAGAAAAACCACAAAGTTTTTAAATAAAACATTAGGTATCTTAGAATAAATCGACTGCAAAAAGGTTCAGGGCAGTAAATAATATTCCTACGTTACAACGCTTACGGGAGGAAAATGGGTCAGAAAAAATACCTGTTTCAGATTAAATAATAAGGTTGAAGTGATTGTCAATGGCCAATATTTAGTTGTTCTGAACAAGCGATCTTTCACCCTATGCAATGGTTTCAGGCGTTCGCCACTTGATTTCGCTTTAATTGGCAAGAGCGTGTTCTGTTTTATTAGCAACCCGAAGTCTGGAATCCTGTAATCAGTTACTCTACCACCGCAGCCTTCGGAAATCGATGGAGGATCCTCCAAAACCGAGCTGAAAATTTTTAAAAGAAACACTACAATGACATTAAAGGAAACATACAGAATTGCTAACCGAGCTGTACATAGAGTATGCACAAATATCTCTCCTCCATGGGCAGCTAGTAGATGACTAGTAATTTTTCCTCCCGCTTTGCGAGGCATCTCCAACATAACAGATCTGCCATTCAGGAGAAAATTGATCAGGCACAGAGATGGTCTAGAGTTTACATCCACAGGTGTAATCCGATGCATTGCAGTGCAGTTTTGGAGTTCATTGCCTGTCACGCCTCGAGGAGTGCACCATTTCAGAGTAACCTGAAACAGCACGAATGGAAATGAAAGTTGCGAAACAAACTACAGCGCTTACAGTTTCGTATTCTAAACCCTCCTTCACAGTTCGGATGGCTGCAGAATCAGCTGGATTACCCTTCAAAATTGCGGTATGGGCTGAGCTAGCATGGAATATTTCCACATCATAGTTCGCTGAAGAACTTGCGCTTTGCTCTTCCTTCATGGGTATGCCTAGATTGATAATCGGTTATGATATTTGAGGAAAACTCACATCAAACTAATATACCTGTCACTGTGGTACTGGCCAAATCATAATGCTCCAGAATAAGAGAAGATAGCTTATTGGGTATTAAGGGGGCATTTATTGAATGGACTTCGGTAGTTAGCAGCGGCGAGAGCTAAAATCATTCAATAGAATAAGAAAATATTTAGCAAAATGAAACACTCACATTCTTTGGCGCATGGTTAGTCACAGAAGATTCAATAGTAACTGGGAAAGTGTTTATGATTACCAAATGGCAATGATTGATAGGCAGCAACCTAAAGTACAGTACGTTTAAGAATAATTTCCAAATGAATGCATATTGACGTACTTGTCCTTTCCCGAAACATTACTATTCTGCTGGTTCAGAACTTTCAAAAATATTTCCTCCAATCGATTCATACTCTCATTATCTCGAGCTGAAGTGATACAAATTACTCGACACCTTTAACAGGAAAAATATAATTAAATCGTATAGATATAAAGACAAAACGAGTTTGCAAGTTACCTGTTGATTACAGGCCCTCCAATAAATTTAGATATTTCTAGTTGATAATCAGTCGGTTCACAAACAACCTCTAGAGCTGCTCTTAAACCGTGCAGAACTGTGTAATCTGGGGGTGGAACATCTCGAAGTGAGTGATGAGCCGGAGGAACACCCAATAATGCACATCCATTCATAATCTAAATTATATAGTTAATTAAATTCAGAGGAATGGTCTTGCCCTGGATTTAACATACAAGTTTGAACATTTTCAATCGAAATTCTAAATAACTCAGACAGGAATTTCAAGTAAAAAATCTGACGATAATCAAATGCAACTATTAAAATAAAAGCAATGTATAAGTCGGCAATATTTGGTTGAACTCCTTGAAATGCGTTATTATTTTTGAGATAAATTAATTGTTTCAAGGCGAACTTTGAAGAAAATGTTAACTCGATTGCAATGGCCGTTTTCGGACAATTAATTTCCTCATTTGTAAAATATTCGGAAATGCAATAATAGTTTAAAAAATCGTACTCACGTGATTTAAAGACTGTTGTGAAGTGCTCCAAGTGTTTATAATATGAGCAATACTGTCACTTGCAAAGAAGCGGACCTGAAGTTAAATAAGAAGCAACTATTTAGACAGACATACTTTGATTAATTGTAACTGTAATTAAATTTGTTAGAACTTATACCTTTCTAACGTCCCTGTAAAACATACTCCAACAACAACATATTCTTCATAATTCTAATTGCAGCGATGAAACAAATGAAGGGTTCGAATGCTTATATTTAATTTTTAAATGCTGGTCTGCCAACTTGCGAGTTTTTGGACGGTTTAAATTTTTTTGGAGGTTCATCCGTATAATTTATGCGAAAATATATGAACGCTCTGGTGAGAGCGAATTATTCTTGATAACTCACGCTATTTAAATACACAGTTCAGGTCGCAAAATTAGGTTTCATAATTTTAACTGCTTATTCTACCCACCACCACCAAAAATAAGAATAAAGCTTATATAAACATACAGGGTGGTACAACCAAGAAAAATTATGTCTAAGTGGTGCGTAATTTTGAAATGATTTCCTTGTGGGATATTGGCATTAATATATTTTATGTTCAGCTGTAAATGCGCGTGATTTCCTTTCGTTTCGGAAATAAACTGGTTCTTAATAGATTGGTTCACCAAACAAAATGTGTTTTCTGGCCAACAAAAACGCAAGCTGATTTCAAAGCTTTCGAAACGTAATATTTAGCCTATTTGAGACGTTTTAGAGCATTTACAGCTCGTCATCTTCTTTCGTTTCAGAAATAAACTTGTTCTTAATAGATTGGTTCACGAAACAAAATATGTGTTTTCTGGCCAAGTTTCAACGTATATCAAATAACAAACGAAAATAATTTTAAAATTACACACCATTTAGCCATAATCTTCTAGCCCGTGTTGCTTGGACCACCCTGAATGTATATGAGTATACAGAGTGGTCCTAGATAAATGTCGTAACGGAAAACTGTTGATGATTCCTTTTAAAGAAAAAACAGTTTTTCCTCTTTGATTTTTGTCTTCATGCTCTGGTTCTCGACACCCTGTATCTGGTGTCAAAAATTTCATTTCTTTTACGAATATGTTAGCAACCGTTTGAACTACAGAACTGAACTGAGTTACATACGTTATTAGCAATCAACTATTATTAACAATTTCTTCGCTCCCTGCTAGAATTTATTGGCCGAAGCCAGTGGTGACGATTTTAAGATATCGTATAACAAACTTTCAGTATATTTAAAGTTCAAGCAGCGTGTCTCACTTGAAGTTTCTAGAAGTTTCTTGAAGTAAGTCTTGTAGTCAAAGAATATAATCCAAATTGAAAACTTAATCTAAAACAACTCTGTGTCCGTTTTCCTAAGACGTCATCAACTGATTTCCAAACTGAAAGAAAAATATGAGCGACTTACTTACTAATTTTCCCAAAATAAAGTATACATCAAAAAAAATATATATAAAGGGGTGATTTTCTCTTCGGTGAAAGTATAATGGAATAAGAGCAGTAGAAGCTATTAGTCATTTAAGTAAAGTCAGACACTTTTATTAAAGTGGTTCATGTTGGGAATAAACTAATCTTACTTTGCAAGGTATACTTACTAATTTGCCCGTGGGAAACAAGTCCCAAACGATTCGACAGTATTCTATAGCACTTTCCAAGCTGGAAGTCCACAGAGTTTTGGAAATAGGGGTCATAGGTATGAAACTGGGAGTCCTACCCTTCATAAATTCGAATTCCAGCACGTTTTCACACGATATACCGAAATAGGGCGTATGATCCAAAACAAACACAGTTTTGTGATTTGCCGGAAACATTTTCTGTTGTTGTAAAGCAAAAGACATGTTTAAAACAGTGCTTGAACCGTATTCAATGGAATTCTTGTTGGGGTTATCAGTTAATGAACATTTGTTTGTACAATTTGATACCGGTTGTTTAGCTAACGTGTATTACACAGATTACGAAACTCTTGGTGTACTAATTAATAAATTGTTTGAAATTCCTAAATCTAAATTATGAGTTATAGGTTAGGTCCAGCAGTTTTAAAAACAAACACCTTTGACTATCAAAAGCACTGGCTATTCAAGATAAGTGGTTGGCCCCAGCACAGAACACCTATGAGCCTAATATTTTTATATATTTCATTAATACAATTTTTTTGAGTAAAAATGCTACTTTTATTTATTTAAATAAATTTATTAAATTGATTAATTAATTTAAAATCAACTGTTTTCCATATGATAAAAGCTTATTCCAACCATGCGATTCCAAACTAACCTAAATTAAACTCAACTAACACAAATAGCTACAAAATGCGCAGAAGAAAAACAGATATATAGACGAGGTAACATCATGATACAATGAATACAAGGTTGGATCTTGCGTCGATTTGCGTCACGTCAGTGGAAATGCTGCCTGGCGTGCTTTTTTCCTGTCTGCTAAATGTGATTAAATATAGCTTGTTTAGTCTTTGTCACATTTAATTATTTTTTTATAAATCCTCCTTATAATTACAAGATGCTTTGCAGCAGATTTTAGACTTGGAAATTAAAAATAACGAAAATGTATTTATTTTGCAGACTAGCACAGTTGCCAGTTGTGTAATAAAGTATAGCGTTAGGTGAAAACGTATCCTTGTATGTATGTATCATTGTATGATCCAATCAATTAATTGTATGTACAGTGCATTCATTCATTATGATACAATTACATTATTTCGTTTGGCTCAACCCGATTTCTCAAATGACACTCTGGCAACACAGCACGCTAAAACGCTGAAAATCAGATATTTTGTAAAACATTATTTAGGGTATTTTTCTTCCCAATAAGCCTAAATCAGGTCCCAAGCGCGATTTTCAAAGCATTCGGCTATGCAATGCTGCAAACCATATCCGCATATAACTTTCCATTTTTGAACTATTGCTTTTTCAATTTAGTGAAAATTTGTCTAGGTTACATGCATTTTAAATGGGATCAGCTGTTAACTTTACCAAAGTGGTAATCAGCGACGTCATGTGCGCACGAAAATCGAGTTTTCGACCGATTAATATCCTACCTTGTATTCATTGTATCATGAGGTAACATAGTTAATAGTACATTAATGATTAATAGATAGTAATAATGAGAGTTGTAAGGAGCACTTTACGTACGAATTGAAAACGAGTGCGTAATAACATGAATATGTAATTGCGTTACAACTCGAATTATGTATCATACCTTACCTACGTCCGCAATAACTTACTAAAACTAAATGACAAATTTGTATATTTTTAAATATGTTAGTTTTGACAACGATTAAAAAGTTGACAGCAGCCCAGAATTACAAATTTGATGAAAAAGCTTTTGATCGTTACCAGAAATGGTGCAGTGAACGAAAGTACTTCCACTTAACAAGCGAGAAAGGATTATTACTACATTTTAACGAAGTAAGCAAATACATAAACCCTCATCCCTTTGGTGTTCGATGTCCTTACGTTCACTGCACCATTTTTGGTACCGATCAAAGTTTCTTGGGTATTTATTTCTTCCGTGATTTATCTGGCACAAGATCCGAAACAACATTAAAAGCTTTGTTTTCAATATCAGATGGAAGGTCCTCGCTTGAATTTATTTGAAAATGTGCAATTTTAAGACACAACTTTAACAATAACCGACAGATGTATTACCGCACTAGTGCGATATATTATCTATTAGATTAGGTAAGCACGTTTTTCGCGAGGCAGACGAAGGTCTGATGTTTTCATTGTTGACCAATTACCAGAATATGCACACCTCATAGAAAATATTGGTAATGGTTTAGTTTATCCAGCGCTCTTTAAACATCATGACACCGCGTTTGCGGTAACGTGACCACTCCGAAAATAATTGATACTCTTAAAATATGTTTCCGAATTTCCACCAAAAAAGTTGCAAATCTCAAGCAAAGCAAAAAGTAATTAATTAAAAGTTGAAAACTTACCAGAAAAACGTCAGTAGGTATAGGAAATAATAGTGCTGTGTGAGTGAAAGAATGCAATCTCTCAAACAGAAAAAGGGAAATTTTGAAGATTTTGGAATTGGGGGGTGGAAAATCAAAACGCGTCGTTAATTTGGAAAGGCACGGCGTAAATTAAATATAAATGAAAAGCACATTGACAAAGACAAAATCAACAATGAAATGAGTAAACTGAGAGATACATATACAAGTAAAATTGGAAAAAGATAAACTTAAGATTAAAAAAGAAATGGCTGCTGCAGAACAAAAAATATCTAAGAATGGGCGACTGGGGTGTGCATGTGGGCGACAGCGTCCCAAAAAGCATGGAATCGTTGCGTATGATTGGGATAACGCTTCATAAATAACGCTTCACACATATAGCCCAAGAAATGCTCTTTTACTTTACTCCCAACCTTAGGGATCAATTTCTTCGCTTGACTCCACCGGTACAAATGATTGTGAGGGTGATCAACTCTAACTGGATCGACGAAACTCAGGGAATGATTGGTTTTAAGATGTCGATAGTCCTCCTCACTGAGCCAGTCGGAAGCTCTCCAATCATGACTGACAATTATGCTTCCAGGTCTAATTTTTTCCTGAATTATCTGTCGAAAAGTTGCTGATGTTTGGTTCTCAACTGAAGCAATAAAAAATTGTCCATCGCTTCTTTGGATTCCTCCAAAAATCCACTGTCCTTCAATAACAAGAGCTCGAGAATGTTTTTTTTCCGTCCTTTTTCTATCCCCATTCCCTACATAAGATTGGTCAATTTCAACAACTTCATTTTCACCGCCAATCTGGGTAGAATGTAGATGGGCCCAAAAAATAAACACTTCTCTAATAATTGAAAACCAATCGGACATAGTCCTGGTGGTTAACTTCATTTCATTACACATGAAAGCGTATCGCGGGTAAGGCCGGCACAGGTACAACATAACAAGATGGCCCACTTGTTCTAAGGAGAGGTTTGCATTATGGAACACTGTTCCCTTAAAAACAGCAAAACTTGTGGTGCACGGCGCGCCATTTTTGGGGTTTCGCCTCTGACACCTAAATTTGAGGCATCTGGCATTTTTCTTGGGAGTCAACTCAGCCCCACAGGAGCAGCGAAAATGGCAAGTTAAAACACCGTGCCTATAAAAAAAGTCCAATAGAGATTCGCCGCCTAGAAGGAATTTATAAAATTCCGTTTGAGTAATCTCACAACCACTACACCTCACAATAGTACACACACTATTATTTGTTGTCCCATCCATTGTCCATCAACGTGTTAGCTATTTAACTCGAAAATTAAATTAAAATTAAAACGAATTAAGAACAGTAGATAATTTTCTCTGACAGTAGAGAGTGTGTTTTTGGTGTTTTACGCA